ATAATCGTATTAATTCAACTGTAAACCTAAAAATTTACAGCCAATTTTGAAAGAAATGCATCTTAGCTCTGCAAATTGTTATTGAATATGTCAATGCTGTTGTAATGAAATGCTTCTAATTATGTGGTTATTAAATAATTAAAAAAAAGACAGATACAACAGTGATTTTACTCATGAATATAGCCCCTGGTGCTTAGTTAGGTACTCACTGAATATGTGTTAAATGCATGAATGAAAATGAATACCTGAATGAAGGTAGTAGTTATGAGAATCAAGACTGTAACATGGTAAAGAATTTGCTTTGATTAAGGAGTTGTGCTGAGAATGTGGCAGGAGCAGAAAAATATTGGGCCTAGTAACGTGTGACAATAGTCTGGATTTCATTTGACTTCTAGCAAAAAGTTTTAGTCTCAAGTGTTAAATTTAATCTAATTTTTATGTGTGCTTTTATATACTGTTTCTTCTGCTGAAATAGATGGGTTTATTTTGGAGGTAAGCTGACCATAACTTGCTGATGTGAATAGTCAAGTAGTGGCGGTAAAACAAGAATGGCATGTATGTTTCTTGTTTGAGAAAGTTAGTGGAAAGTAGTTTATTTACTGCTATGAGAAATACAGATGAGAAACAGATATGGAAGATTCATTAGGCATTTTTTTTTTCATTTGACTTAAGATACTGAGAAAAATTTTATTTGAAAATAACAAGTAGAGATTTGGATTCCAAGCCAGGGAGTTAGAGGAGACATCTGAGCTGGGACAGAAATTTGGGAGACTATTAGCACATAGACACATATGTGTTTTAATCCAGGACAGTGAATAATAGGGTGTGGCAAGGGAAAATAATTTCCAACATTTAGCAGTTAGGTGGAAGAGCAACTACTTAAGCGGAACTTGGAGAAGGACTGACCACAGAAAGACACTCGCATTGTGTGGTGCCTTAGCAGTCCAGGCTTCACATTGCAACTCAAAAGGAAGAAAGAGCTGGGTGTGGTGGCTTATGTTTTTAATCCCAGCACTTGGAAGGCAAAGGCAGACAGATGTGAGATCAAGGCCAGCCTGGTCTACACAGTGAATTCTAGGCTTGCAAACCAGCTGGGACTGTAGTGACACCCTGTTTCAAAACCCAGAAAAAATGAGAAAGACATGATTTGCTAACACATACTGAATTTTAGTAGACACAAAATATAGAAAGTGGGAAAAACTGTACCTCTCTGTGAGACTGAGTCCATTTTGGTCTACATAGTGAGTTTCATGCCTCCAGACCTGTGGGGGCTATAGGGACACTCTGTTTCAAAAAAAGAAAGATATGGTTTGCTAACACATACTGCAATTTCATAAATATATAACATAGAAAGTAGGAAAAACCTTGATATTCTTGAAAATTTTGATTTTTTTTCTTGATAAAGGTGGAAAGTATTTTTTTTTTTTTTTTGAGACTGGGTCTCCCTCCCTGTAGCTCCAGCTGTCCTGGAACTCACTATGTAGACCAGGCTGGCTTTGAACTCACAGAGATCTGCCTGCGCCTGCCTCCCAAGTGCTGGGACTACAGGTGTGTGCACCACACCCAGCTAAGGAAAGTAATTTTTAAATATGCAACTTGAGCTTGGATTTATTTTTGCCAAGATTAATGGTGTCAATGTCACCTGTTGGCAAAGTGGAATATTATAATCATAATCATATGTGAACCTAGAGGAGCGACCTATTAGAAAGAGAACATTTCTGGGGACTCATGTATTTAGTTTTACAAGGTTCTGTGTTCTTCAGGTTGGTGTGCATATTCTGGCCTGTCACATGATCCATTTGGTCACACAGTGCATATTATTTAATGTGAGGTTCTTTTTTATCTTCTAGATTTTTCTCATGTATTTCCCTCTAAGAGTTCTTTCTCCCATCTTACTTGAAGTTATCTCTCAGTTCTCACAGTTTCTCTTTCACATGCTGTTTGCCGATTTGGAATATTTTCTCTCTCTCTCTCTCTCTCTCTCTCTCTCTCTCTCTCTCTCT